AAGGGACCATTTACCTAACGTTTGATCCTTTTGATCCATAGTCAAAATCACTTTCCAAACATAATCTCCACTTGAGAATATTTTGGACTTGGCCTTCTTATTATAGGCTTTAGCTATTCGCTCTTTTTGTCGTATTAACGCATCTAATGCTGCTAGCCTTTCTTCGTCCAAATCAATCATTTCGTCTAACATCATACTCCAATATTGGTCGAATGGAATTTTGTGTTGACGTTGAATTCTAAATGATTGTAGATAAATATCTACATGCAACACAACGTCATGGCCGTAGGACAATCAAAATGGTGTTGTTGTAGTTGTCTCTTTTGGAGACGTTCAACAAGCCCATAGGACTTGATCTAACGTTAGATGCCAATTTTTTTGGCTTCTTCCTAACATGTTTCTTGATCAAGCTAATAATGGTTTTGTTAGCAACTTTGACCTGCCCATTTACCTGAGCATAATAGGGCGTCAAAGTTAACAACTTAATTTCCATTTCTGACGCAAATCCTTGCATCTTTCGACCAATAAACATTGACCCTTGATCAGTCGTAATAGTTTAATTCAGTCCTCATATATTTATTTTGAAATTTTACCAATCACCTTAGTAATGTAGTTGTATTTGCATGATAGAGATTCAAGGCAATATAATCATAATTCTTTTGAATGATGCATTTGCTATGTGATGTGATAGGTGTATGTTATGAGTCGAATTCCATGATAAAATTTAATGGGTTTCTATTTAGTTTATGGAAAACTATTTTTTCCTGTAATATTTGCATAATACCTAAACCTGATGAAGGAATTTGAACAAGAATTGTGTAACAAATATCATAGATCTAAGTTAAATACATATAAATTGAATTCAAAGCGTGGAAATTACTTATACAAAAGACCAAAATCTTATGTGCAGATTGAGCTAATTGATAAAATGAAAGGAAAATACACAAGGATGCAAAAATTAACGTGAGATCTTTAGAGCAACTTATCTTTCATCGAAGTATAAGCAATGATTCTTCGGGCGAGATGACAAAACAAAAGACCCTCGAAGTTTCTCTGACGTGAGGTGATTGCCAATATCTAGCGCTGATCGACTAATACACAAATTTAGGGATCGTGTTGGAGAAACCTTGGTGGCGGCAGATAAGAGCCATTCAATGCTTCCTTTTTCGATTCGATCCTGGATATGAATTATCCAGTTGTAGCGATTTTGACACAACCATTGACCCCAGAATTGCTGGCGACCCTTGTTCCTTCCAACGATTTAAATATGACCTCGACAATGATTCGAACATATTGATTTTGATTTAAGAAAATCAGCGTCGTCGCTTCTTCCTCTCGATCATGGTCTCATAATTGGTAGTATATGATACACTTATAGCTAGATTCCTAGTGAGAAATGAGCCCTTTAAAGGACCAAATAGATCATACCTGAGAGTAACTCTCAATTATTATCTTTAATTAGTAACGTCGACTTATCCGGGTTGGTACTCTATTAATAGTTTATGTTGGAGACTTCTCATGTTAGGAAGATAAACTTTATGTATCCCCTAAGTCGAGTTACACGGTATGCCTTCAGAGGCACGGTAAATTGAGAGACAATTGAGAATTATATTCTGACAGTGGAGATCTGCTTTATAGAAAGTAGCAGTAGGACTAGAAATAATATTGACCATTATAATTTTGGCCCAGGAAAGCTTTATCTGGGCCCCACGGTGGGAGCTAAACGTTCTTGCTAAAACATTAAAAGGTTAGTCTCACTGATGCCAGCTAGGGAAGGTCGTAAATGTCTGGTTGAAGTGCTTTTGATTGAAATAGGGCTCATAGCCACCATTGTTGGTGGTCCAAAGTTTCTAGTATATTTTTCTCTTTTTCATGTTATTCATCATGCTCCCTCTTCCTTCTTTGTTGGTCTCAAGACCTATATATATTTTCGGTCTCCCCCTCCTACTGAATAGTCACAATAAATAGGATTTATGACCATAATAAACGTAACCGTTTATTTAACTATTTTAACATACTTAATAAGTACTTGTAACCGTTTATCTCCCTTAGTGATATGTAACCGATTTGTTAATCATTTTGTAACTGTTTCCGACCTTTGATTGTTCAAGAAATTTTATAACGGTTATGACTTGCTGTGTTCCTTTCGAGCCCGATCAATTGAGTCCAAGATGAGTATTGAAATCAATGTTTGGGCTCGTAATAATTCTTTAACCTCATAAAATCCCCCTTACCTTGTGATCCCACCAAAAGCAAACAATATCTATGGTCTCCTCTCCCAAGCTCTAGCCTTCCTCTTGTTCTTCTCTTTGCCCTAGCTCTTTCTCTCTTCTTGTCTCGTTGCGTTTTTTCACTTTTTGTACGTACTGATTAAACTCTTTCCTCTTAACTCTCTTTTAAAAATAAAAACCTAATTCCCTCATTAGGATATTCCTACCTTACCCTCACATTTCCCCCCTTAATTCCCACCTTGTCCTCAATATCTCTACAAACTCCCATTTTTTCTTTATCTTATTATTTTATTTAAATAATAAAACTAAAGATTTATTTTAATTAGTAAAATAATTCTAAATAAAACCTACCAAAATTTAATTACTCTTTACACTCTCCCCTCACAGTCACACACCACATCACACTTATTTATTTATTTATTCACACACAATAATTAAATAAAACACATATAAATCACAAAGAATTCACAAATAACTTAACTAAAATAATTAATTAAACAAATTTTGGGTGTTACACGACAGATGATCGGGACCCTAACAATATAGAAATTGGGGATCACATTAATTTCTAGAGCCAATGACCAGTTTCTAATCGACATTATCTTTTTCCAGATATTTAAGAGGACATCGTTCGACGAGAGCATAATGATTTTGTGGAGCAGACTGATGTTTTTCTGTACCACTAGGTGGATCCGAAACTAGTGGGCAAGATTTCCTTCTATGGTTGTGCGACTAGAGTGGATGATGCTCACGTAGAACTGGTCGATTTCCCACGTGATTGATAAATTAACTAGTGTACTAATCTGCTAGTAGTAATATCGGGAAATCCTGGCATCAATCTCGATAACTGCATAATATTTTAGATTTTGGTTTTAACTTTAGTTGAAAAAAAGGTATCCAAGGGATTTGAGTTTGTTTGTTTGCAAAATATAAAACTAAGAAAAATTTAATAGAGTAGAAAATAATAAGAGAAAAACATGCTAGGTATGAGAGTTTGAACTTGGACTCATTTGATATCCTTAACTGACCTTGTAACCAATTTCTTTATTCCTACATATTATTGGTTCTTAAGTTTATTTATTGCTAAGTCCTTAGTAAATGAAACCTTGACTATTAAAATCAATTTATATCATGGTAAATTATAAATGAATCCAAACATTTGATTATGAAAAACAATACAATATCTAGTTAGCTAGTATCCCTACTCTTAGGTGATAACTAATGTAGAATATTTCAACCAAGTGTTACTATTGAAAGTTTTTCCTAATAGGTAATCGTAAATCAATTCTCAATTTGTTAGAAAGAGAAAAGCATTAAGGACAAAAAGAAATAAACCATGTAGAAATAAAACCTTAATTATTACAAATGTCAAATAAAAAATTCAAATTCAAATTCAATCAAGAACAGTAACCCATCCCTAACATTGAAGGGTTTAGCTACTCATAAGGTAATTCACAAACCACATAAATGACATTACTCAATGATCTTCAAGAAGAGAAATTCAATACATAATTTCGTTGAATATGCCTTCAAGTCGTTCGTTCTACATAAGATTTACGTTCCAAATTTTCTTTTGCTGTAAAAAATCAAGATATCCCTCAAATCAAATGTGTTTTTACTTAAATAACACCTTACAGTTATAGGCCTCATTTAAGCCAAATCATACGCGTCAGGTTTTAGGATATGCATACGGCCAGAGGCGTTTTTGGTCTAGATACCTACCATACACGTCTGATTATGGAGATACATGTATGACCTTTTGCTCGATGCGTCTGGACGACACGATATGTGTATGGTCAAAGGCGTTTTTGCATAGAAACCTACCACACATGTCTGATTATGGGGATACATGTATGACCTTTTATTGGATGCGCCTGGATGCTACAATATGTGTATGGCCAGAGACATTTTCGCGCCTTCAAACCTACCACACACATCTGGCAGTCATGACATGTGTATGTCCCTTGCAATATGCGACTCTAGGATATGCATAGATAGAAGCGTTTTTAACCTAGCAAACCACCATATGCGTGTGGGTTGTATGGTACTCATTTTAGTAACTTTTTTGGTCATGCTTGAACTCTCCTCTTCATTTAGAATCCTACACAACTAACGAACCTTTTTTACAACATTATCTAGTTCAGAAAACATCAAAAACTTCATGAAACTTGTTAAAACTAATAACTTCACAAAACTAACAATTCTTGAGTTAAAAACTCCAATTAGTTGCTTAATTTATAATTTAAAATGTAGAAAATTAGTGATATATGCGTAAAATACTACTTAATTTTTTTTATTGTTAAGACATGTGTAAAATAGTCTTTGATTAACTATGCATATAAACTAAACTTTTAACTATCCGACAAAGAGTTAAGTATATGTGAGTGTGCCATTTTAAAGAAACTATTTCTCATTCACATTCACCTCAAAGGTACAATGACAAATAGTATTTGGAAGCATTAGGTTACCATTTCACACATTCGCAACCAAGATTCATCTTACAGATAATATATAATTTTATAAATTTATGGTCAACAAATTAAATCCCACGTTCCAAATACATACACACCCTTTACGACTGCCTTGCAGACGAACGAACGACCAAATCGTGACGACCAAATAATAGACTAATCATATGTTACCCATCACCTCTATAAATACATTTATCCAAACCAATTTCTCTCATTACAAACTTACATCATTAATTCTTCTAAAACTTTATTAAATATTCAAACATATCTATAAAGATTCAGTCACTGAATTCTCGTAATGGGAAACTCTTGCATGGCAGCATCGTCAATGGAATGGGAATCTTTGAAGCAGCCAAAGCCATGTCCATCATCGTCAACTGCTCATCTTGATCATCATCAGAATAAGGAGAATGATGTATTAGGAAAGCTTAGAGCTTCTTGTGATGCAAATGGGAAAGTCACGTTGAAGATTTCAAAGTGCGAATTAGCTGAATTATTAGGAGCGATTCAACAGAATAATAATAAAAATCAGCAACCGCAGAAGCAGACCAAGAAGAAGAAGGAATTAGCTTCAGCAGAACTAGTTCTGTTTCGGTTAATAAAAGCTAGAGATCATGAAATTGCAAAGAAGCATCATTGGAGTAGTCACTGGAAACCGGTGTTAGAAACCATTCATGAATGTTAATCTACAGTAAATATTTCTAGGGTTAGTATAGTTGTAAAGCTACCTATCAACTTGTACATTTTAGTGTTAGAAACCACTTCAATTATATAAGTGAAGATACATAGTTCTGAAAATTATTACTATATGAGACCTAATTTTTTTTGTCTGAAAAAATAAATAAAAGCAATCCATTATTCTATTTGTGTTCCTTACTGAGAAGTTTTATCTAGTGTCTGAAAGGTTTGAAAGTGCCAAAGGGCTACACCTTAGAAGTTAAGAGTAAATTTTTTTGATATGTAATTTCAAAATGTGGAATTGTAGTTGAATCGCTTAAGATAGTAATCAAAAGTTTTCAGCAGTGGAAGATACCAAAGAATAACATACAAATCAAAATTTCAAAAATTTAAAAGGTTATTATTGAATATTCATTGAAAGTTTTTCTAAGCTTATGTAGTGTTCCGTTTATGAGGTAGAACTATTAGAATGTAGATTATTTTCCAGATCTCTAGTATGGTTGCGGGACCAATTCATAATAGTTGCCCCCACAAAATTTTGTGGCATAGCATACGAGAAACCTTTTAAAAAAAAAACAAAACTAGGTGGAGTTCTCTTATTTTGAAATTCCTATGCAAAAAAGTTGAAGAGATTCGAGGAATATACATATTAAATACCAGTCTCATCATTGAGACATTTCATAGGATTTCCTTACACGTGGCCCTAAGTTCGCTGGTTAGGGCATGACAATTTCCCTTAGGTTGTTAGAGTGAATTCAAATGTCATTGTATTTTTTAGGTGAGGTCTGACTGTTGTATTTTATCTTTGTAACACACCAAATAATATGTTCCTAAAGTCATACTATTTAAAATGTTAAACCGATACTGAGTACAATCAAAAGCGTCTAAACGACATCCAATACATGTAATAAACAAGTACAAGACAATAAAAAATACATGAGAAAGACATCCAATACTAGAAAATACTATAGATATGTAACAACACAAAAAGAAACATAAACAACTTTTATCTTCCAAGTCTTCGAGACATTGTGCCTTTACGTCTTTTCTAACTAAGCTGGCTGAAATATTTAACATGGGCTGAGATACAACATATCTCAGTAGAGTTTGCCTATGTTAAAGGTCCACTTGTCTATAAGGTGCACTAACAATTACTTGCGACTCTAGTGAATTAATCCTTACATGATTTCAAAAATCCATGGGCACCATGGAGAAGCCCCGAACATGAGAGAATGTTATACGATTACCATCTAGGGCAACTAGGCCTATGGTTGCATTTACAGGCTAAGTGTTAAATTAACCATTCTTTACACTCACTATACCCAAAATTATTCAGCATCATGTCTCTTTTTAGTTTCTATGGTTCCTTACATTTTTTCAGTATATACACATAACACATTCTCAATTAATTGGCGTATTAATTGACTCATTCCTATCAATATTTCTATACAACTTCCTTTTATTAGAGGTCGAGATACCTTCATTGTATCTGTAGGACTTTTCCTTATTTGAAATCAAGATACCCTCATTGTATTTGTATGACTTCCCTTGAATCGTAAATCAAGGTACCCTCATTGTATCTGCATGATTTCCCCTGATTAGAAATCCAGATACCCTCATTGTATCTGAATGACTTCCTCTTATCGAGCATAATCTAATTAGTCATAAATCTAATTAAGACCTTGTTCGATTGGATTTAGCATATGGTGTATGATTTCTAATTAAAACCCTCACAATTGGGATTTAGAAATGTATAACTAATTACGGTCCTGCATGGCGGTTGAGATAATATTCGGTTACTTTGGCATCAAAACATAACATGAAATAAATCAATCATAAGCTGAAAATATGCATACAAGTATTATATTAATATACTATTGGATAGTTCTTCGAATGAACTTTCTTACGCATCCGACCGCATCTTATTTCGAGTTACGAAATTTAAGATATGCAAAGATCGGTGCCACTAATTTTTTTTTGTATCAGTAATCTCGCTAAGCGAATTCAAAAAGAGGTCTCACTTAGCCAGCCATTCATGGATAAGCAAGAAATAAAAAAAAATCATTTTTTTTCCATGGTTGAAGTCTTACTAGGCAAGCCCTTCGCGACTAACCAAGGAAACTAGACCAAAATGTGTTTTTACACCCATAAATCATCATTCTCACCCAATACAAACATGTTAAGGGTGCATATTAAGCATGCAACAATGAAACATAATATCAAGCCTAATTCTAGCATCGATTCATGCAATCAAATACAGAAATAGAATCAACTACGCATGTCAGGAGAGTACTAAAACCCTTGGTCCCCAACATGAACTTTCCCTTAAATTAGCGTTACCTAACTAACTAAGAACCCCACCTTTAGAATGATTAAACCTGAATTTCATGGTGAATGAAGGTGATGGTGATGGTCGAGCTTGATGATATTTGTCCAATTCCTCAAGATATTTCCACATGCAATTCCATCTCCTTTAAGGTTGATCAACTCTCCTTCTCAATTTGCTTTTGACCTTAGACTCTCTTGAAGATGATGATGATAATCTTTAAAGCCATTTTTCTCAATGATTCAGCTTGTTACTACTCAAAACAGCTCCACAATTCAACATGTAAGGAATATGGTAGATTAATCAAGACTTCTTATTTTTCTCCGCTTTAGTTGCCTTACTCTCTTTGTCTCTTTTTAAATTCTCTCTTAAATTCTTGTTTGAGCAAGGAGACACAATGGTTAGAATAAGCCTTGAACAATATATTGACTTAAATACCATCCAAGATAGTTAGCCATTTTGTCCTAGCAAATTATGGTTATTTACATAGCTATGCCACTTAGCTCTAATGATGGATTAGGTTTTAGATTAAGGCTATTTAATCCCTATTTTCACTAATCGTCGCTTCTACACCATCAATATACCATTAAATGCTAACATTAGTTAGTCGAATTTGGGATATTACAATCTTCTTATTTTATTTCATTACAATCATTGATTTGTCATCCTTTAAAGATTACTCTCGACTTTCAAACGATTTTCCCTCCTTATTACAATTGAAACTTACTTTATTCTCACAAAGCCTTTCCTCATTCCCAGAGCACTGGTGACCTCTGATTTCACCATTTTCCCTTTTTATCTGGATTATGCGTTTCCTGATTCACCATCCTTTTCAAGTTTCACTTTGTCTCTTTATTCAGGTATAATTTCCAGTTCCTTTCCTTACATTTTGCTATTTTGTTTCTTGTCATTGCTATGACGAATATAGAAACTATGCTTGAGAACATGATAAACGACCCTGGTAGTGTAAAATCTTCGTCATCTACAATATTAAAAAACCTAGATGTTCCTAATACTGATACTTTAGAGGTTAATTGACTAAACTCCAATCTTGTCGTGCTTAACGACATTTATAAATCTAGCGTGGGTTTTGTAGAAAATGGCAGTGAATAATTTAACCCCTCTATAATGAGAGTACTAATAGATCTTATGAAGAAGACCAAGAGATGAAATTTAGTAACCTTGATACGAGGGATATGATTGTTTGTGGTTTTTTCTCTATCAGGGCTCATATAGATCTGAATGTTGCTATCACCACTACGAAAAAGGAATTTAACAATGGTTGGGAAAGATATATGTAATACCCCAAATTTTACCCTCAGATTAGTCGATTTATGTCGAATTACGTTTCACTTTGCATTACGTGTTAACTAACCACTAACGCTTTGTGTAACGCCCCGATTCTGAATTTCCCAATTTGTTTGAGTCCTTTTTGATTTATTTGGATGAATGTTATTTTAATTATGGAATTTATGTGTCGATACGTTTAATTGCTTTTTGTGCTATTTTACCGATTCGGAGAGTTTTCGGGGAAAATAGATTAAAGGGCATTTTAGACATCTAGTATTTTATATTAAGTGGGGTATTTTGTGAGAAAATATTTTAAGAGGTATTTTGAGGAGAAATAGAATATAATAGAAAGAGGTATAAGTGAGAATTAGAGAGAAAAGAAATGAGATAGAAAGAAAAAGGAAGGAAAGAAGAAAAGAGAAGAGAAAGAGGAGAAATGGAGAAAAACCTAGAAATTCATCAAGAAACAACTTTCAAGCTTCAATCAATCGGGTAAGGGTGTGCAACCTTATTATTATATCAATGTGTATAATCATGTATGATTTTTGTTGGATTATTTTGGATTGATTGGTAGTTTTCTACACTTTCCATTTTAGGTCAAAATTGGTTTAATCGATAGAAATCGTTGTTTAACGGTTAGAATCGTGATTAGACGACGTAGATTAGTCGATATATGTTAGACTAAGGCTACTGGATATAATTTGGAGTTCATCGGGTGATTTTATCGGTGGTTTTGGATTCTGAACAGTGGGAAGAAGTGGAAATCGCAGACGCTCGCTAGCAGTTCGCTAGGCGAGCAGGTCGCGAGTGTTCGCTGGCAGTTCGCTAGGCGAGTGCGGAGCGAACGGTCCCAGACTTGGGACATAATGGTTTTGATGTCAGTAGCGAGGATCTCACTGGAGGTTCGCTGTGGCGAACGAGGTAGCGAACGAAGTCTGGAGCTTCTATTTATGCTCGCTAGCAGTTCGCTAGGCGAGCAAGTGGCGAACGCTCGCTAGCAGCTCGCTAGGCGAGCGTGTAGCGAACGTAGCAGGATGGGTTTTCCCTGCTGCTGTGTGCTGTTGTGGCTTGGGGTTTTGGTGGCGATCGACCCTTCTTTGGTTTAATAGCTTGTGTGCTGATTTGTGATGTGATGTAGGTAGCCGTATGGCGTGAATCCTAGTTTATGGTTGTGAAGCATAAGTGTGGCCGGTTGGCAATTTTGTGCATTTGCTTAGTTTGAATAGAAATGCATGAGGAATTGATTGTGAATGTGAGCCATGTTTGAATGGTGTGAATGAATGATGAATATATATGTTTTGTGATACATATATTTTGAATGCATAAATGAATATATGCGATAAATGTGAAGAATGCATGAGTGTGTTTGTAAACATGTGTGCATTTCATGA